GAATCCCAAATGTAAACTGGCCACCACGGCGTTCGTGCTGTGGGTGGTAGGTTTTCTTGGGAGGCCGTGTGGGGGAGAAGGTGGGAGCTGCTTGGGGAGTCAGGGAATCTGGGAATGATCCGTCTCAGAGCTGACTTTATCAGGATGTGACTCTTCTCCCCATGCCTCAGTTTCTTCCTCTGTGAAAAGGGGACCTTGACTCCTGCACTGCCTGCCTCCTGGGGATGGTACTGGGGAGTGGTTACTAATGGGGATGCAAATCCCAGGCTGTGAGCCCAGTGACTCACTTCTTTGCATCTTAGTTTCCTCTAAGATGTAAAACAGGGATAGTAAGAACAGCTGCCTTATTAGGGTTGCTGGGAAGAGTGACTGAGATAATGCACACTGAGTTAACTCAGTGCCAGGCACAAAATAAGGGATAAAAGGTTACTGGCTATTAAAATGACAAAGCAGCAGTCAGCCTGGCCAGGTGGCCTTCCCCTTTCTCTCACTTGCTGAAAAGCTTCAGTGTTTGGAGTGGGATTTAGAATCCTGCATCATCTACTTATTGACTGGTAGTGAAGCCCAGGGCAAGTTTGTTTTGTTTTCAGCATTCTGAAACCTCTATTTTCACATCTGCAAGATGGGTAGCTAATAACGATAGCCCTAGGAGGTTGTGTGGAGTCAACAAGCTAGCATGTGGAAATTATCTGGCACTTCCCTGAGGAAGTGCCAGAGTGTGAGTGTAAAGTGCTGTTCACTGCTGTGAACCTGTATGAACAGGCTTCTCATCTCTCCCAGGTCAGACTTAGGAACACCTGGGAAAGTGGATGGAGCTGGCGATTGCCACCCTTCTCTTCCCAGATCTAGGTCCTTGATCAGAGAGGAAGCTTGTGATGAGAGGGGGGTCCAAGGCAGGCTCTGAACAGGCAGGTCACAAAGAGGAGAGGAAGGGCAGGAGGAGGAAACAAGACACTGTGCATGTTCTCTGCACTGGCTACTCTGCGAGCTGGTTCGGAAACAACATATTTCATTGACTCCTCACCAGAACCCTGTGAGGTCTTTATGAAGACCCTCATCTTACAGGTGGGCAGATGAAGTCCACTGGGTGCCAAGGACTTGCTGAAAGTCACGCAGTGCCATGTGGAGCCCATGCTTAAACCCAGGCTTGTCTGCCTCTCAAAATCCTAGCCAGGGGGCAGTAAATGCAGCTGCATTTACAAACATGTGGTGGAGACAAGGAGACTCTGGATCTGCCTCCTGAGACCAAACCTTCTGGACTTCATCATATTCTGATTGGGGTTCCTTCCCTTGGTTTGCAGACACATTTCTTTGGGAAAATGCTGAAATGCCCAGGCTGATCCAGGGAGGACAGAAAATGGTCCTCCCACACCCCCATAGCCAGAGTGGTCAGACTAGCCTGAGAAGTAGCCTGCGGCTGATGATTACAGAGAACCTGATAGAACTGGGGTTGGCAGAAAGGGGAACACACAAGACAGGGTTCGTGGAGAAAGTCTACATTTCTAGGTCCTTTCTGGCCAGGGCATTGCCTTCTACCTTTCTCAGACTGAGAAGGGTTTTCAGACAGATGGGAAAGAAGAGACCATTAAAATTGAATCTTCATGCACAGAGAGGGAACTTGAGCCCAGAGAAGGGAAGTAACTTGTATAAAGTCATTCAGCATGTAAGTGTAAGAGCAGAGACTCCCTGACTTGTATTCTGCATGTATATTCATGTATTCACTTGTCCCTCCATTCATGGGTTCACGGAATGCCTGTTACATGGTCTATGTGGACATGGTCCCTGTCCAGACTGAGCTGACAGTCCAAGAAGGGCATACAAATGGAATACTGTGATATGGGATGAAGGTGATGGTGCCATCTTTGGTCAGGCCAAAGGCCAATGAGGGAGGAGGTGGTACTTGCAATAAGACCTGAAGAATGAAGAGGAGCTGGCCAGGAAAGAGCAGAAGGGTGGAGGAACATTAGTGGCTAAAGACTTAAAAGAAGGAAAACTCTTGGAGTACTTGAGGAACCAATAAATTCCTTACTAAGCCACAGAGAGTGAGGGGAAGAAGGGAACCAGGTAAAATCCAAGAGGTGTATGGAGATCAGATCATGCAAGGCCTTGAACTCATGGTAAGGAATTTGGGTCTTATTCTAAGCGATAGAATCTGTTGAATGTTGCCTGCGCCAGCTGTAGCAGGAAGCATGAGAGATAAATTAGACGCAAAACAGTCTCTAATGGGTCACAGAGCCCAATGGGAAAGAGTCATGGAGAGAACTGTGCAGAAGACATTAGAGGTAACTGGATCATTCTAATGTTAGGATGTGGGCGAGGACAGGAAAAGGGGACAGATAAAGGGATGGGTGAGTTGAGGACAAAGAGGCTGTCCAAGTCTGGGAGGTGGGAGAGAGGGGACAATAGTCAGGAAAGGTGTCACAGATGGTGAAATATGAGCTTGTGGGAAATTTGACTCAGCACACATGTATTCAGCATTGAGCATCTCCTAACTGTTAAGCCACATGCTAGGGCTTTTGTATGTTTTTTCTTGTGTGATCCTCACAACCATATGAAATGTGGTATTTTTTTTTTTAGCTCCCTTCTATGGATGTAGAAACTAAGGGTCATGGCAATGAAGGGATTTTCCCAAAATTGTTCAGTAAGAGGCGAGCGAGGATGCGAACCTAGGCCTTATGGCTCCCACGGCATTACTCTCCCCACTCGACCTCAGTCGGTTAGATTTGGACTTGGCTCTGCCCGCAGTTTCCCACTTGGACTGGAGGGCTTTCTCTATGTCTCTTTCAATTCTAGCATTCTCTGCTTCTCTTGGAGGTGAAGAGGTTGCAGAAGAATATTCTGTATTGGAAGTCATAGCCTCCACAAAGGCATGGAGGCTGGGAAGCAAATGTCCTGAACAGGGAACAGCAAGTAGCTCTAAGCAGAAAGACAGGCACTGCCTGGCAGAAGAAGCTGTGCGATGCTTACCACAGCATCAGGCATCTATGAATTTAAATTGAAAGGAGAAACAAAGAGATGTGCTAGCCATGAGTCCAATCAAAGAGTCAGAGAGGGATGGAGAAATGAAGAAACATTCATTCATTCTATGGCCTGGCTTCTGGGAAAACAAGAATGAACAAGACTGACACAGACCCTGGCTCACTGAGAGAGAGACAGAAGAGGATCTATATATTTATAGTTGAGCACTGAGCATATGCCAAGCACTGTGTGCTAGGTGTTTTTCATCAGTTAGTTCACTTATCCTTCATCGCAACCTTAGGAGGTGTATGCTTTCATTATTCCCATTTAATGAATGAGTTAACTGAGGCTCAGAGAAATTGTCACCTGCTCAAGGTCACACCTCAATTAGGTAAGAGCGCTGGGGCTTATACTTCAATCTTCCTGATCATTCCTACATTTTTAATTATTGCAAAATTGCAGGACGGAGAGAGGTTGGGAGGGAGGGAGGGCAAAGAGGCAAAGAGAAAAAAAAAAGAGTTAGACGTAGAGAATGAATCCACAAGCTAGAAAGACAAAGATGCTCTGAGACTGTGTGAGCTCTTGGAGACCCTGCCTAGGCAGGAGGCGAATGAGGTCATTAAATCCATCTGCGCAGATGGGGGACCCTCTGGGGAAAGTTATATGCAAATGTCATGATGCAATGAGGTGAAATCCACTTGCGTTAGCCCAGGCTGGGGCTCAAGCAGGGACTGCACTGTGCTTTTTGGAAAGACAGATTATCCACTGCATGGGGACGGCATTCGCTCTGCTGGGCTCTTTCTCTCAGTTTCTAGAAAGGAAAGCCAGCCCAAGGTCACACAGCATGTGAAGGGATGGACTGGGAACCAAAACTCAGACCTCTCACTTTTTCTTCTCAATTTTTGTTTGGTTTTTTTCCTAGCTTTCATAATATATATGTATATCAAATCATCATGTTGTGTGCCTCTCTCTTTGTCTTATGCTAAAATCTGCTCTGGAGATCCTTCAACCAAATGTTATACAAAACCTTTATGTGAAATGTTCCCCACCAGGGTTTCAGGCCCCCTAGAAGGTGGTCTGAGCTTGCTGAGACATTCTTTTGTTGTTTGCATCATTGCCTCCCAAAATCAAAATTACCAATATGGGCAGAGAGTTATGCTTTGTTTTTGTGTGTGTGTGTGTGTATGAGGAAGATCAGCCCTGAGCTAACATCCGATGCCAATCCTCCTCTGTTTTGCTGAGGAAGATCGGCCCTGGGCTAACATCCATGCCCATCTTCCTCTGCTTTATATGGGACGCTGCCACAGCATGGCCTGACAAGTGGTGCGTTGGTGCGCACCTGGGATCCGAACCTGCGAGCTCTGGGCCACAGAAGCGGAGTGCGTGCACTTAACCACTGTGCCACTGGGCTGGCCCTGAGAGTTATGCTTTCTTAAAAGATACTTTCACATCTTTTATTTTACTTGATCACCACAATAGTCCTGTAAGTTAAATATTCCATTGTACAATTCTATTAACCAACTCTGGTACAATATATCACAATTTTCACCCATGATTTCACTCAGCCCTTAGAGTTCACAGTGCAAGGGGAGGTGGGGGTCTCATTATACCAGTTCTACAGATAAGAACCTGAGGCTCAGAGAGACAAAGCTTGTCCAACTTTCAATACCAGATTTGTCACTTATTACTTTGGGCAAATGACTGCCTCTTTCTGATCCTCAGTTTCCCCATCTGCAAAAGGGTGATTGTTTTAGTACCTCTCTTACAAAGTTGTCAAAGGATTTGGTGTTTTCCTCTTTGGAAAGTGTTTAGTACATTGCCTGACTCATAGTAAATGTCCCTGAAAATGGAAGCTGCTATGATAATGACCATGGTGATTTTGATAAAAGTTAGCACAGAGCTAGCAAGAAGCAGATCCATGACTTGAACTTGAATCTGTTGCCCCCAAACCCAGCAGTTGTCTCTCTGCCCTGCACTGCCTCTCTGAAAATTACTGCTTCAGACCCACACCTGGCTAACCTCTTCTGTCTTTCTCTCTGCAGGTAACTCCCTTCCCTATGTCCTGTGACCTACAAGGTGACTGTGCTTGTCGGGACCCCCAGGCCCAAGAACACAGCCGGAAAGACCTCCGGGGATACAGCCATGGCTAAGGAAGGGCAAGGAGTTGTCAAAGAATTCCCAACGCCAGGACCCGCATCCCTTTGGTATTGATTTCACAGTCAGCTGCTCAACGGAATGGCCTCTCCACACCAGGGATCCTTAGCACCCAACCGGTCTGCCTTTAATTTCACCCAGGAAGGACTCATAGTGGGGGCGCATGAACCAAGTCTTGCCATGTTGAATGATGGAATGGAATCCCATCCTAAAGTCTTAGATGGATTGCATATACAGCATGCAGTCCCAGAGCCTCCTAAAATTCTAACCATCTGTTACACAACCACAGCAAGAAACATATTCTGTATCTAGGAGTGTGCACATCTGTGGTTAGTACACATGCATGTATACGCACCCATATAAACACCTGTGTGAGGGCAGTTTTGGAGACTGAGCAGAGAGAGAGACTAGAACAAACTCAATTTTTCCTTTCCCAAGCTCCTAGCCAACACTGTCCTTGGGAGAAAGAGAGTTGCAGAAACTGCTAAGACCAGTTTATTGTTGAGATGCCAAGATAGCTCATGACCCGAGGCTTGGAATATGTAGGTCATGCACAATTGTATAGTCCTTTGGGATTGGAAGTGAAATGGTCTCTGATCACCTACCTTCTAGGGAAGTAGGACCCAGGAAGAAGAATCCAAGGTATGAAAGCCCACAAATTCTGCTGCTGCCATGGGGGATTTTACCCCAACTCCAGGGTTCGAGGCCAAGCTGGAAATGGCTTAGGATTGCAATATCAAGGTATTATAACAGCCCCCTGCTTGAGGCTTAAGGCTTGAGGCCATAATATCCCTCCAGGACCCACCCATTCCCCAAACCTTGCCTTGGGACCACATTTGCTGCTACTTTTCCTGCTGCTCTATCCTATACATTGAGTACCCCAAGATGGTAGGACTAGGTTAGAAAAAACCCCACACAACCAAACAGTCTGCCTTAAAAGTGACCCACATTTTTCCACAGCTCCTCACTTCTTAGCCCTCCTGCAAGAGAAAAACTCTCATTGGCCCACATGGTGAGAAGTTAAGTTCCCTATGGGTAGGCTTCTCATCCTGGAAAGGAGTTGAGGGACTTAGGATGCTGAAACCTTCACTGAGAGTCCAGAATGTCTAAGCCAGTGTTAGATTTTATAATCAAGTGGAACAGTGTTAAATTTCTATGATGTTGGAGCCATTCAGAGACTGTTGGAATTGTAGGGACTCTTGAGTTATTATCCTTATCCAAGCCTTCCTGGCCTGCCAGGCTAGAGCAGGCTTTGGTCCTGAGGACCTCACTGTTGCTCTGAGTAGCTATAATTCTGGAACAGAACATCATCTTGGATATGATCAATCTAGACTATGTTCTTGAGGACCATCAGAGGAAAGCCAAAGAGTTCACAGCCTCAGTCCCCAACAACCTAACATGGTCATCATGTTTCCCACATAGTCTTCCCACTGCCAGGACGCCCATCCACACCCGTGGTTGGGCAACCCTTTCCTCTCTCCCATGTTCAGCCTTCAAAAGTTAAGAGGAAATCAGTCAAATGCAAGTGGAAGCCCCCACCTCTTTGGGGTCTTCTTGCCTCTTTTAAGCCAGTTACCTGTCTATTGCTTTTGAATTAATATGGAAAGAAGTTAATACAAAATGAAGTGGAGAGAATGGTTAAGTTTGACATAATTTCTGAGACCTGGAACTGAGAAAATGAGGCAATGGAAGGGTTTAAACTAGATGTATCACATAAAGGTTGCTGTAAGTCAAGTCATCTCAAGTCTAGTGAAGACAACCAACAAAAAAAAGTCTAGCATAGAAATGGAAAATACCAGGCACATGTGCTGACACTACTCATTCCTGTATCCAAGGCAAGCATTGTTAATCAGTCATAACCCTTTTTCCTATGGGGACCAAAAATAACTTCAGAAACCTTCTTACTATATCACTACCAACAGCAATTACCTGCTGATCAAGAACACTTGAGAAAACATCTATTAGCCATCTGTGGTCTATTATATTAAGAAATATATCAAGGTGCTTTTTGCACAGGTGTCTACAAATAAGGATGCAGTGCTTCGATAGTTTTGTGTGGTTTGTACCATATTACAAACTCTGAGATTGGGTTCCAGAATGGAGAGGCTGCCACCATTGTTAAGGTCAGGCTCAAATCCTTTATGTTTCCTCCTTACAAACTCCTATCTCATTTATATTCACAGCATTTTTTTCTGTAATTACCAGGACCAATCCTTAGCAAAATAATAATAATAATAATAATAATAGAAGAATTGATCTCATTTTGTACCCCTCTCCAGTATCTTAGAACTCTTGCCAACTCTTAAAGCCCTCTTCTTGCCCTAGCTGAGTTATCAACCTGTGTGGTGTTAGCTTAGAAGATATGAACTAAGAAAGGTAACAGCGTCAGCCCTCCCAGTTGCTTTATTACACCAATAAGTAATAGTACAAAAAGCCTTGGAGACCCAAAGACGACATTGCTAATGGTGGAGTTGCAGGAACCACAGAGGAAACTCACCAGCTTCCCTTAAATTGACCCCCACCCTCTTTCTTCCTCCAACTTGTCTCTCCCCACACTCTCCATCTGTGAGCAGAGTTTCCTGGAGGCTGACTTTTATCTTCAGACTCACAGATTGAGTTGAACTCTACTGAGCAAAGATCCACCCAGTCTCCTTCTTACCATCGTTCAAACCTGTTACTCACAAATTCATATTTGCCAAGGATATTAGGCAAGAGAGGCTACTTGACTGATGGCCAGACTCATGCCCACATGGATGGTGTAATTAATAGGCTCTTCTCAAAACTTAGTGAAGGAGGGTCAGCTCTATTCGTGCAATGCAGTGACTCCCATTTTCATTTTCTTTTTGGGAATAAACTCATTGTCTCATCCCTTCGATCATCTCCTGTTTAGGATAATGGAGTACTAGGAAGGAGAAAGCTCTGGAACACTATTGTCCGTAAGCAGCTCAGGGGCCCTAAAACACTTGAGGGTTCTGGGTCTGAAGAAGTATTAGCCTCTTAGCAGCAAGAAAGAAAATGAAGTGGACAGTTCTCCAAGCCTTGTCTTGGGATGCCTTTCCAAGGACAATCCTAACTGCCTGCCCAGAGGACTTGCATTACCCCCTAGAGTCTGTGCCAACCATCCTTAAGGGAAGATATGCCTTGGGAAGTCCATTTTGGTGGCTGAATTAAGGTGTTAAGGAAGGGAGAGATCAGTGGTCGTAAGAGTAGGGCTTTGAAGATGGAGGGTATCAGCTGCTACTCTTGGCTTCAGCATGTTGAGTCACTGCCTAGACAGTTCTCTTGGTCTTAGTCCCACCTGGGCCAATGCTTAAATGCTATTTGTTGAAAATAATTCTTTGAGACAGATTTCAGCTACCTCCCTTCCAGGTTCGATTTAACTTGGTTGTTAACTGTCAATTTGTTATAGGTCTTACCTGTGTTTAAAAAAGCAAGAGAAAGAAAGGAAGCAAGGAAGGAAGGCAGGGAGGGAGGGAGAGAAGGAAGAAGGAAGGAAGAAAAGAAACCATAAATTCAAGTTAACAGTTTTGAGGGTTTGCATGTTTTTTTTTTTTTTCTGGAACTACTTCAAGTGGGGAAAATAAAAAGAAGAAATTGACAGTGACAAAGCTGTACAAATAGAGATTAATAGAAGCCAAGGAAATTAAAAGGAAATACAAGTGCATGATTAAAAATAAGAATTAAAGAAACCTATTTTTGTGCTTCCTAAAGGAACTTGTTTATTCTACAGACTGAGTAGGTAGACACAAGCATAACATTTTCCTAGAAGGAAACATAGAGCAAGATTTTACAGCACTGTTATTGTCTGTACATTGTGGTAGGTCCAGGAAATAAGGCATCTTCCCTCTTGATATGTAGTCTTGTTGTTGGGGGAGCATTTTATCTATTTGTTTGGTGGCAATTGGTGGTAGTAGGGAGTGGGGAGGGCTTGAAATTGGTTTTACCAAATATTAAGGGGACATATTGTGTTGTATTTTCACATTATAAAATGGTTGTATTTACCAGTAGAGCACTGGGCTTTATAAAGACTGCACTTAGAATCACACTGCACAGTCCACTTTCCTAAAAAGCTGCTACATAACCAGACAGGTAATTCCCATGGTTTTTGAGAAACAAAACAAGCAAACAGCAAACATAAAAACTAAACAGCAACTGAATAACAGCCTATTCTTTGAATTTACTCAAGTTTTGCCCAATTCCTACTAATTGAGTGATCTTTAAAAGAGATGTATAATAGCCAAGAGAGGAATTATGTCCCTAGACCAAGAACATAGAATTCTTGACTCCAGGCAGCAGTTTGCTCAGTGATCTGGAACAAGTCATCAAGTTGCCTCTCCATTTGCCTCAGCTTCTCGAGCTGCCAAATGGGGATAATACTACTTACCTACCTCACAGTGGGGGGGGGCAGGGGATTGTGAGGCCCTGGGGTTTGAAAGGGGCTGTGGCGATCTGTGAGAGCCAAGGCTTGACACAAGTCCATGGGTTATTTTTCAAGAATGCACAGGCCCATTGGCCATTTAAGAAAGACAGGGAGTGCTCATTGGATATTTCAAGGAATAATGCTGGAGCTCCTGGATTATAATCCACTTTAAGAGAGAGGCTTGTATTTGGGAATATTTCATTCTTAGGTAAATTGGATTTTTTCCCTCCTTATTCTGGCCTTTCACCAGTTCTATAATTTGATTAAAAGCCAATTACTTCCTACAGTGTAAAAGTCAGTTTGCTGTTGTCTATTCAATACTTCTGGGCCATTTCCAACTTTATAGATGAAGGGACCCCCTAAATCTCTTCTTCTCAAACTTAAAATTCTGCATCAAGTGTTTAATTAAAAGAAGATACGGCATTCTGAGTGCAGACAACTCTGGGCTTCTTAAATTATACACCAGCAGTCGGTGAGGAGAATTTTGAACAATTATTAAGTTGCTTTCTTGGGTCTCTATAATCAATAACCTGTCCATAGATATCTATCTATATAAAGATATTATATATAAATATAAATTTACATATATATGCACATGTATATATAGTTGTACATATATGTGTGTATATATATACTTAAATGTAATATTTACAAAATAAAACTGTGATCTCGTCTAGAGAAAATGTATTCATATTACAACGGCTCTTCCATATTTATGTATCATATTATACCTTTTTATTATTGTTATAATTATTATGGGTATTTCTAATTATTATGATGTTGACATCTGTTTGGCACCTTCTGGAAACTACCAAAAAATGACTCTCCATTGACGTGCTTAAACTCTGTTCTCATGAGAATTCTACTGGCCTACTATATAAAAGGAAGAAAAAAAAAAAAAAGAAAGAAAGAAAACAATCTAAACACCAAAAACAAAACACAATTCCAATCCTTTTTCTGTACCTCACGCGCATAAATTTGCTGCTCCTATTTGGGTTTTATTTTTTTCCTGTTTATGTGTTTTTATGGATCTAAGTTAAGTCTTTCAGCAATATATAAAAATGTAAATAGTAAACTTTATTTATTAAGAATGTCATCTTTTTTAATTTATATTTACACAATTGTTCATCTAATTTATTTTTTCTATACGGTTTTAAATACTCAGACATATTCTGCTGTTCATGATATTTTTATCCTGTTCTCATGGATTTGTTTTTCCATACTGTTTTCTCTGGTCTCAATTACAGGTTGGATCTCACAAAAAAAAAAAATGATGTCAAAGACAGAAATATTTTGCCACTGTTGATTACTATACCTTAAAATTCTATATTATGAAAATATATAATAGCTTGTATGCTTCAGTATGTGGTGGTGTGGTTTTTGTGTCTTGTGGAAATCTAAAGGACTCTCATAAAGACACGCTAATATGGAAGAGAACCCCAGGGCCTAGAATTAGATCAAGGTAGCATGAGGTTGAATCCAGCATACACCCAATCTTCTATGTAAATAATTCCTGAAAAGCATCTATATTTTGCATATACAAAAGCTGAAAAACATATTTACATGTTATAAGAAAGTTCAGTTTTCAGGGAGCTAAAATGAATATCAATTCCAGTTATATCTAGCTTTTTGGAAGCTATCTTCAACAACATACTTCCCGCATATTCTTTATTTTCATTTTTTTCTTTATAATTGAATGCTCAGTCATCTAGCTCATCACATAAACATGCAGCTGAGACTGAAGTTTTGCTGTTTTCGATCTGCCTATTAGATCTCATTTTCATCTTATCACCACTTAATAGCTATGTGATCTTGGAAAGTTATTTAATTGCTTTAAGATTTGGTTTTCCCATTTGTAAAATGGAAATAAAAAAGTACCCACCTCATGAGGTTGCGGCTAGAATTAAATAAGATAAATATGCAAAGTGTTTAGAACGACACTAGACATAGATTATATTACCTCTTGTTATGATTATTATGAGATGGGCTGCTTATGACAAGTATTAATAATACACTAATTTTTCTGATATCTGCTTATTTTTTTAAAGAATGAAACCAAGATACACTAAAGCATTCAGTTGCGCAGGCATTGCCACGGAGTAGTTACTGGCACAGTGCACTGGGCTGTTGGCTGGCAGTACCACCATAAGACAGGTCAAAATATGTGTTTATCTGCTGATACTTCAAATGTTGAATTCTGCAAAAAAGGGCAGTTTGGGAATATCAATGTGAATTGCATAAAAGGGCAGGGGTTGGGAAGTCAAGAACTACCCAGACAGATTTTTTTGGACTCTTTACAAACACAACTCACTGAGAGACATGAGAGAAGACACCAAAATAAATAAAATAAAAGTCATCACTAAATTCTGCCAAATAACTGGTTATTTCCAAAGTAAGACAAATGATTAAAGAGAATGTTTTACTAAGTTCTATTCAATTGACTGTGAAGACTGAAAAAAGATTTAAAGAAGAGTTTCATGAAAAGAGGCAAATATTTCCCAAATAGGAAGATTAAGAGAGCAAGTCTTAATATGGCTTTTTGGACTCCTTGGTTTTGTCTGCAGAGACAGAAAGCCATGGGGCAAAGGGATTCCTTTTGAAAGACAGGAGATACTAGTTCTAGTGTCTTCTCCCCTCCTTTTCCAACCCTAACACACACAGACACACACAGACACACACACACACACACACACACAGTAACAGAAAAGTTCATTGGTCTTTAGTTTCTTAATCTGTGAAATGGGAAAATGATGCCTTTTTCACTTCAAAACAAGTAGAAATATTCAGTATTTAGATCTATTTCTGTCATCCAAGTTTTAGAGTTTGTCTAACCAAGGAAAATGGTCTTGAAGTTAAAAAAATAAAAAGATAGGGGCAACACTCTATCATGCTATGCTGGCATTGGTAAATCTATCCAGTTCTTAACCTGGATAGTGCAGAAATAGGAACCTAGGACAGAAGCATAGTCTCTCTAGCCTGCAACCCAGGAGAAGCCTTGCTA